TAGTCTGGGGGCCCTTGGTGGCTCAGTTGGTTAAGCATCTGGCTTTGGCTCAGGTCATGATTTCATGTTTCGTGGGTTCGAGCCCATGTTGGGCTCTGCACTGATGGTACGGATTCTCTCTCTCTTTCTCCCTCTCTCTTTGCTCCTTCACTGCTCTCTCTCTTTCTCTCTCTCAAAATGAATGGATAAATTTTATTAAAAAAAATAGAAAGTAGTCTGTAGGGATACCCACCCCAAATGTGACTTGGTAGTGACTAGGTCTGGGACTAGGGTGGGCAAATGAGGTGGCTTGTATGCACAATATAAGGAGGTACTCACTCAGGGTCATGCAGTGCGGGTGCTGCACCTGAACTTGAGAGCTTCCTTTGATGTGCTCTAGGTGCCTCACTTGCCTCACCGGAATCTGGCCATGATAGGGACCTAGGCCATAAAAGTCATGGGCACTTTCTCTCTCTCAATTTTCACTAGGGTATATGTTAAGGTTCCTTCCTACCCCAAGTGTGGTACATGGACCACAGTATTAGCATCACCTGTGAGCTTGTTTGAAATATAGAATCTTGGGGCACCTGGGTGGCTCAGTCACTTAAGTGTCTGACTTCAGCTCAGGTCATGATCTCATGGTTTGTGGGTTCGAGCCCCATGTTGGGCTTCATGCTGGCAGCTCAGAGCCTGGAGCCTGCTTTAGATTCTGTGTTTGTGTCTCTCTTTCTGCCCCTACCTAGCTTCTGTTCTCTGTCTCTGTCCCTCTCTCAAAAATAAATAAATGTTAAAAAAAAAAAAAATCCAAAATCTCAATTCTGCCCAGACCTTCTAAATTAGAATATGTATTTTAATTGAATCCTACAGGATTTGTATACATGTGAAAGTTGGAGCAACACTGGGCTAGCAGGCACCAAGAATAGTTTCTATCTTCTTATGGAGCTGATGTCATTGCCCCCAGTGGGTGAGACACACACTGACAGGGATAAGATGCCTTTTGAGAGGCAGAGAGAGACATAGTGAGCGGAAGAGAGAAAGAGAGAGGTAGACACAGAATCCGGAGCATGCTCTACGCTCAGAGCCCGATGGGAGGCTCAAACCTACAAACCGTGAGATCATGACCTGAGCCGAAGTCAGATGCTTGACCAACTGAGCCACCCAGGCGCCCCCTATGGGCTTTGACAAGAGGATGAGCTTCAGCCAGTGAAGCCATCGCAGGTCAGCCTGATGGACGAGAAACAGGTGATTTCCTTGGGACAAAGAACACTTTTGGGCAGTGTTTACAGAAGGAACAGGCTAGTGGGTCTGGAACTGGGGAAAAGAGTAAGACATAAAGTGTCAATATTTGGGGCGCCTGGCTACCTCAGTCGGCAGAGCATGCAACTCTTGATCTTGGGATTGTAATTTCCAGCCCCTGCTTTGGCCTTTGGGTGTAGACCTTAAAAAAAGGTGTTAATATTTGTACCAAGTAACTCAAGTCCCATGGGGTTGAAGAATGACCTAGTATACTTAGTTATACTTTAGTATCCTAACATATTTAGTATAAGTTAGTATACTTATTTAACATATACCTATTTGACATATTTAGTATAAGTTAGTATACTAACAGCTTGTTGGTTTTCCAAGAGTTTTTAAATAAATCTGTTATAAAACTGGGAATCTTGGAGCCCCTTACCTGGTTCAGTTGGTGGAGCATGCAACTCTTGACCTTGGGGTTGTAAGTTCGAGTTCCCCTTTTGGGTGTAGAGATTACTTACAAGTAAAATCTTAAAAAGAAACCTGAGGTGGTTTCTTTCTGCAGTAATGTGAGTGGGAGCACCAGGCATGGGACTTGGAGGGGAACTCCATGGATGGCTTTAAGAAAATGGCAGAAAAGCTGGACGTGGTGGAGCGAGAGAGTCTGGGTAGGGGAGGGGCAGAGAGAGAGGGAGAGAAAGAGAATCCCAAACAGGCTCCGTGCTGTCAGTGCAGAGCCCAAAGTGGGACTTGAACTCACAAACGGTGAGATCATGACCTGAGCCAACATCAAGAGTCAGATACTTAACCGATTGAGCTACCCAGGTGCTCCTCAAGAAAGTATAATTTTTTTTTAATTTTTTAATGTTTTATTTATTTCTAGGAGAGAGAGAGAGGGAGACAGCGTGAGCAGGGGAGGGTCAGAGAGAGAGGGAGTCACAGACTGAAACAGGCTCCAGGCTCTGAGCTGGCCGTCAGCACAGAGCCCGACACGGGGCTCGAACCCACAAACCGTGAGATCATGACCTAAGCGAAAGTCGGACGCTTAACCAACTAAGCCACCCAGGCGCCCCTATAATTTTTAAATCTTTTTTTAAAATGTTTATTTATTTTTGAGACAGAAACAGAGAAAGAGCACGAGCAGGGGAGGGGCAGAGAGAGAGGGAGACACAGATTTTGAAGCAGGCTCCAGGCTCTGAGCTGTCAGTACAGAGCCTGATGTGGGGCTTGAACTCGCGAACCATGAGATCATGACCTGAGCTGAAGTTGGACGCTTAATTGAGCCACCCAGGTGCCCCAAGATAATATTTTAGTGCAATATTTAAAACATAACAATTAATGCAAAAATGCATGATGAATAAAATATCAGCATCTAAAATAAAGGCAGGATCCAACAACACCAGTATTAGAATAAGGCAAGTTAGGCCGAATTCTGTGGGTTGTAGGGTCAGATCACACTCAGTCTGGGGTGGGTATAAATGACTGGTGGCACTTAGGTTTTGTGCCTACTTCCTGGCCACAAGTTAGTGTAGAAGAATTTGGCTGAGCTATTCTGAGGAAAACCTTAGTATTTTATTAGAGTTAGGGTAAAGATAAATCAATATAGAACTATAGAGAATAGAGGACAAAATACCTCTTGTGAAACTGGGAAGGTTCCAAGGAAAAGATAAAGTTTGAGCTGAGGAGAAGGGAAAGCACAAAGAATATTGGATTTGCAATCAGGAAATGGGGTTCCTTCCTTTGCTGTTTGCTTTACTAGCTGTGGCAATTCAGGCAAGTCGCTTTGCTTCTCTGAGTGTAACTCTTTATGTGTTTATACTTTAGGTGTAAAAACTTATCCTATGTGACGTGCCAAAGATTTGTGAGGATGAACTGAGATTAAATGAGTGAATGGGGTTTCTGGACTGAAAAGCGCTATGCCAACATCTTGCACTGTTATTTGAGTCCATAAGGAGGGATAGGATTTTGATGAAAGGCATTGGGGGAGAAGGGTCTTTGAGCAGAGAGAATGAAGGGTGAAGTGGTTTTTGTATGAGGCTAGACAAAAGGAAAATGGGCTTTGAAGTCTAGGAAGATGAAAGCAGTCAAGGAATGCCCATGTTTTTAAGACCATTAAGGAAACAAAGTCCAGGACCCCAAGCTTGAAGGGTAAAACCAAGCTCTGTGGTCTTAACAATTACTCAGGAGTGAGACACCACACTCACACATTTTGCTTCCCAGATGGTCTTTTAAAAAATTTTTTTAATGTTATTTATTTATTTATTTATTTATTTAGTGTGTGTGTGTGTGTGTGTGTGTGTGTGAGAGAGAGAGAGAGAGAGAGAGAGAGAGAGAGAGAGAGAGAGAGAACATGAACCGGGGGGGGGGGGGGAGAATCCCAAGCAGGCTCTGCACTGTCAGCACAGAGCCCGATGTGGGGCTCAAGCTCATGAACCGCGAGATCCTGACCTAAGCCTAAACTACCAGTCAGATGCTCAACCGACTGAGCCACCCACGCCCTAATTTTTTTTTAATTGTTTATTCTTGAGAGGATGACAGCACAAATGGGGGAGGGGAAGAGAGAGGGAGACAATCTGAAACAGGCTCTAGGCTCTGAGTTGTCAGCTCAGTGCAGGATGCAGGACTCAAGCTCATGAACCGTGAGATCATAACCTGAGCCGAAGTCAGTTGCTTAACCGACTGAGCCACCCAGGTCCCCCCCTTGATGGTCTTCTTGAAGGCAGGCAGGCACCATGCCTTAACTTATCTTTCTTTCTAGGAACCTCACACTTTCTGGTCAAGAGCACTGTGCTCCATTCTCAAGGAATGAATGAGTGCCCAAAGGCTTGGGAACTCTACCCCAAGGGGCACCGACTAAGTGGTTGGGTAGCCTTGAAAAGCAGGTTTTTCTATGCACATTGGGATGCCCTCCTGATATCCTGGTGTTATGAGAACTCGCCAGATCCTAGGTAAGGAAGGTACTCTTAAGGGGCGCCTGGGTGGCTTAGTCGGTTAAGCGTCCGACTTTCGCTTAGGTCATGATCTCACGGTTCGTGGGTTCGGGCCCCGCGTCGGGATCTGTGCTGACTGCCAGCTCAGAGCCTGGAGCCTGTTTCAGAGTCTGTGACTCCCTCTCTCTCTGACCCTCCCCTGCTCACGCTGTCTCTCTCTCTCTCCTAGAAATAAATTAAAATATTTAAAAAAAAAAGTACTCTTAAGGAAGAATACGTTGGGGCCAACTAGCGCGTCTTATTGCCACGATGATTGATAATCAAGGGAAGGGGGGGGATGACCAGTTCACAGGTGTTAAGATTTAACAGAACTACAGAGGAGTGTGAACACGCAAGCACACACCGATGCACACATGAGTGCATGGGAAACTGATTAAATCTGAGTAAGATCTGCAACCTAGTCAGTTGTATTGGTCTGGTCAGTTGTATTGTGCCAATGTCAATTTCCTGGTTTTGATAATGTAGCATAGTTGCGTAAGACGGTGAGGGAAGCTGGGTGGGTGATGTGTATACGAAACTTCCTTGTATTAATTTTGCAGCTTTTTGTAAGTCTATAATTATTTCAAATTAAAACAAAGCAAACAAACGGAGCCTCCCTCCCAAGCCCAGCCTAGCCAGCCCCGAAAGCGCTCCACACCTCACACTTGTGCCCTCCACACCCCCTCTCCTGCCCAGGTAAGGCGGGGAGAGTGGGAGCAGCGGGGCCGCGCACGCGCAGTCCTGAAACACCCCCCCCCCCCGCCGCGTCTCTGGGAAGTCACGCTTGCGCAGTCTCGGCTTTTGCCCGCCGCGCGCGCCCCACTCCGTGGCGGGGGACTCGGTTGCCTTGGCCCCTGCGCGCTGCCGTCTTTTCCGGCAGTTGGAGCGCTTCCTGTTGTCCTCACCCGCAACCGCCCCTCGGCCCGGACTTCAGAGTCCTTTAGGCGTCCCCTCCTCTCCTCTGGTCGGCAGGGTGCTGCCGCCGGGGCTTCGCCCGTCCGCCCGTCGAGAGAGGTCGCTGACCGCGCCGGCGTCCGCGGCTGTCCGCCGCCCCCAGCCCTTCCTCCCCCGGGGCTCCGGTGAGTGTCTCGCTGCCCCGTCTTCGGGCCATCCCAGTTTTCCCCCTCATCTCCTCTCGATCTTTTTTGGGGTTCTCCCTTCCCGCCGACGCCCTCTCTCAAGCCCTGTCTTGCCGGCTCCTCGGCCGCTGCCCTCAGCCTCCTGACAGTCCTCCTCCTCTCGGTTTTCGGAGGCTCCCCTGTCATTCCTGTTCACATTTTCCCAGTCCCAGGCTCCCCACCCCTTTCTTTCTTTCTTTTCTGTGCAGTTTGGGGGCGGGGAGCCGGGCTCTCTTCTCTTTCCCACGTTGCCAGCTTTGTCTACTCGTTGCGACCGGCTCGGGCTCCGCTGGGACGTCAGTCATTTCCAGTTTCCACCTTTTATCCTTTTTTTTTTCGGGGATCTGAGAACCCACGAGGTGTTGTGGGAGGCAGAGGAGTGGAAAGCCCACCTCGGGGTGTGGTTCCTTTGAGTCTGCTCCCGTCCCCGGGGTTAGCCTTCGGGTGCTGGGCTTTAGATAATCTTAAAATCAAAGGAAAATTGAGTGAAGCTGCTTCTTTTTTTTTTTTTTTTTTTTAGAGAGTGGAAAAGAAAAGTCGACAAGGACTTAGAGGAAAGTCTGTGTCAGAAAGTGTGGAGAACAGCTAGTAGAGAGACCAGATCTCCCCAGCTGCACTTTGAATTGACTGAAAGACACAAAGAGACACTTGTTTTTGCAGTGCACAGAGGAAGGTTGGGAGGTACACCTTGTGCTTCCTCTCCCTGTCAGCTCACCTTGGCTCTGAATTAGAATTAGCCAGGCAGTGGATGTGGTTTCCCTAAACATGAAACCTCGGGCGATAATGGGCTCCACTGTCTATGCCAAACATTAGATAGCAGCTTCCTCACAAGGGGACCAGAAAGCCACCCTCCAGCTTTGTATAGAAAACCATTTCACATCCCAGCTCCATCCCCATCAAACATACATACTCTCAGCTACTAGTAATGGTCATAAAAGATGAGTGCTTTCTTAGTAAACCTCTTTTAAGGTACTCACCAAGTGCATAGCACTGTGCATGAGATGGAAGAAGGATATTAAAAGTACTATAAGATAGGTGCTTGCTTCCCAGTGGCTTACAGTTCAGGAGGAGAAATTAAGGTGTTTGATGATGATGATGATGATGATGCTTCTTCTTCTTCTAGGTTATTTTTATTTATTTTGGAGAGAGAGGGAGAGAGAGAAGCCCAAGCAGACTTGTCAGCTCAGAGCCAGACGTGGGGCTCTGTCCCCTATAAACTGTGAGATCATGACTTAAGCTGAGATCACGAGTCTGGAGGCTTGATTGACTGAGCCACTCTGATGCCCCAAAGATATATGAGTGTCAAGGAATAGTCTTAGCCTCTGTGTTCATTTGCCCAATGGACGGTTCTGGATTGTCAGTCATGGAGAAATAAAGAATTGGTGAGAGAAGGGGTATTCAGAGAGATAACAGTATCATCATTGTAAAGTCAGTCAGCCAGGCATAGCTGTCTGGATTGAATAAGACAGTGGTTTTCATGTGATCTACTTTTATGTTTGCAGTAGCTACACCTGACTTACAAAGATCCAATTCCTTTGTTAAATTTTTAAAGCTTTTAAGGGGTGCCTGGATGGCTCAGTCAGTTAAGCGTCAGACTTCTGCTCAGGTCATGATCTCGAGGTCTGTGGATTCGAGCCTTGTGTTGGGCTCTGTGCTGACAGCTCAGAGCCTGGAGCCTGCTTCGGATTCTGTGTCTCCCTCACTCTCTGCCCCTCGCCTGCTCACGTTCTGTCTCTCTCTGTCTCTCAAAAATAAATTAAAAAAAAAAAAACTTTTAAGAATTTCTCACCTACTTATTCCCTAATTCTGCAGAGTTAGAGAATGAAACAAATAGGGAAGGGACCTCCAGTAGCCTGTAGGTCAGGGCATGAAGGCCTGAATTATCAAAGGAATGAGGGAAAGCCTGGTCGTCTAAAAAAAAAAAAAAAAAAAAAAAAAGGTACTTGGTTGACCCAGTAAGCCTATACATTGCTATAGGGCAATAGTAATTGTACCTTTTGATGAAAGGTTATTTGAATAGACTAATCCTTTTATGAGTGGAGGAAGAGGAGGAGGGAGGATGTTTTGAAGAAAGGTCAAAGGGAAGGATAGTGCAATCTTTGCTATTACATTAGAGACTGTATGTGAAGGTTGAAAATCATTCTGCTAGAAAATTTGTTAGCCTATTATATGATCATCTTTGAGTACACTTAATCTCCTCTTGATCTTTTTAAAAGCTTAGGAAGCCATGCCACTGACTTAAGTGAGTCAAAACTTTCTCCACTCCAGTATTTATATACCTATCAATGTAAATATAATTTTGTTCCTTAATTTTCTTGACAACTGGAAAATCATTAACTTGCCTAACTTCTATTTATTAACCACCTATTATATGGAAGGTACTGTTTGTCTTAGGTTTAAACACTCTCTAGTTGCATTTCTGTATTAAAATAATTTCATCTGTTAAAATGTAACCACATCTGTGTATTAATAAAAACGTCTCCAGAAATGTTGAGACCAGGAAGGAGTACAAAGCACTCCCAGGAAGGAGTACAAAGCACTCCCTTGCTTCAGACTTGTTTTTAAATCTGGTTTCAAAATTTCTTCACCAGACTTAGAGTACATGTGGTTTTCATTGTGGGTGGAGGGGGTACAAGCTGACAAATAAGGAACCACACCCAAGCTTCATAAACCAGAGGGTTTTGAAAAATTCTACTGATGTCCTAAAAACATTTGAGCTTTCTTTCTTTGGTATTAGCAGAAACTTCCCCATAAAAAAATAGCATAGTAACAAATAACATAGTTAGGTGGAGCTGAGTTCACTTTCTTGAATTTGTGATTACTGATCATTTTGCCTCATCATGAATAAAAGCATTTGAAGTAGAGCCTTGCTTTTGAATCTCTTTGCTCTGACAGGATTATTCTTTTATGTGATTTTCCCTGAATATCTTTTAATAAAATTGCTAACTGTTGAGCCTTTTGTCTCAGTAATAATAAGTGTCTGCACATTCCTTAATAGCTTTAATCTAGGAGACAGTTTAAAAAGCTGCGAAGTATTAAGGGGAGAGCCTGAAAGAAACCTTTCACAGAATGTGCTATCTTTGAAAATGGCCCTTGGCCCCTCCTGCTTTCTCCTCTGAGTTATATTAGGATGAAAGGACAGACTTAGAGGCAGGCAATCCTGTTGGAGGAAAGCATGATAAGGATAAAATACTGAGCATTATTGCCGACGCTGGAGCAGGTCCAGGCTGGTGAATGGTCTGGCCAAGTGTGACAGTGCAGGCTGGCAAAAATATCTTGGATGGGGGTGGGGGTATGAAATTTAAATTTAGGAAAAAATGTTCTATAAACTATGTAAACCTTGTTGGTATCAGTTTTCTCCTATGTAAAGCTAGGAGGTTAGGGTCCCTTGTTTTTAAGATTATCTTCCATCACTAAAATTATGATACAGGTTATTTCTTTGTAACAATGTTTTTATCATAGCTATTTGTTTAAAGTGGTAAATCCAAATAGACCGCAAGTATTTATCAAATATCATAAGATGTGTCAGAGTACATGAATACCTGTAAATGAGCGTTTTAGTCATAGGTCTTTTTTTTTAATTTTTTTTTAATGTTTTATTTATTTCTAGGAGAGAGAGAGAGACAGTGTGAGCAGGGGAGGGTCAGAGAGAGAGGGAGTCACAGACTGAAACAGGCTCCAGGCTCTGAGCCGGCAGTCAGCACAGAGCCCAATGTGGGGCTCGAACCCATGAACCACGAGATCATGACCTAAGCGAAAGTCGGACGCTTAACTGACTAAGCCACCCAGGCGCCCCAGTCATAGGTCTTTTTAACTGTAGAAATGGCAAATTTAAAAGTTACTTGTAGTTTAATAGTAATAGCACATGTTCATTGAAGAAAATATGGAAGTTACGGAAAAGCACAAACAAGAATAAAATGGTCTATTGTGTTCTTATTGCCTGGAGTTAAACCGGTGGTAACATTTTGATATGTATTTCGAATAATTCTGTTCATATCTAATAAACACATAAATAAGTAATTTAATCAGTTCTATTGTTGGGTATTCAAGTTATTTCAAGTTTTCCTTTGTTGTTACACTGCTGCATAGATTCTCCTTGTGGATGAATCCCTATGGGTCTTTGATTTCTTTAAGGTAGATTATTGGGTGGCAAAGAATTATACTGTGTCTATATCACATACTCTTAATTTACACTCACGGTATTGCGATCTTGTTCTCTTCCTTTTTTTAAAATTAACAACATGTTTTGAAGATATTCATGTCACTTTTAGGTACAGATAGATATGCTTTTGACTACTGCCTGTTATTTCCTTATGTCACCCACAGCATTTTATTTATTTCCTTACTGAATTGGCTTCAACTTCCTATATGACAAATGGTGGCATCCTAGATGTCCCGTGGAATGCACAACCTTGTGCATGTCTCTTTAAGAGCTGTTGTGACTGTTTCTTTAGGCCTTATACCTAGAGATGGTATTTGTGGGTCATAGGACATTAATACACACTTATTTTCACAAAGTATTCTGTTTGTCTGGCTTTTGTTCTATATTACGTGTTTGTCCTCCAGAAAACATATCAATGTACATTCCTACTGGGAGGGTAGGAGAGTGCATAGTTGATGGACTCTAACTCCAAAACTAATACCTCTTCTTTTTTTGTTTCCAGCAGCCATGGCAATGACAGGCTCAACACCTTGTTCATCCATGAGTAATCACACAAAGGAAAGGGTGACAATGACCAAAGTGACATTGGAGAATTTTTATAGCAACCTTATCGCTCAACATGAAGAACGAGAAATGAGGTAAAGAATTTTGCTTGAGAAAATTGTGTCATGGTTTTGGCATTCATGTCTAGTATCATAAAACACATTCATAATATTGTTGAAAGGACATAAGAATAGCAGCATCCATGTTACATCCTATCCCATTACAGTGGAAGGACAGTGTCATTGTTTCCAAAGGCCTTGCTGTTAACCCATTTATTTCTACTACTGGTCAGTAACACAGGGGTGCCTGACTGGCTCAGTCAGTAGGGTTGTGTTGGGTGTAGAGATTATGTAAAAATAAATCCCTAGGAAAATAACACAGAATTCCATAGTAGTATGAAAAAAATGGGCCAAATTCTTAGGCTTCTTGTTAAGGCAGTATGATATAACAGAAAGAGCAGCCCTTGTGGAATCAGACCTGGGTTTAGAATCCTGCCTTTACTGTTTAAAAGCTGTCTGAGGCTAGGACAAGTTTCTTAGACTTTTTGTGTATCGGTTCCCAGTCTGGAAAATGGGGATAATACTTGCCTTGCAGGATTGCTGTGGGGATGAGATGTAACATATCTATGAGTATTCACCGTGTGCTTCTCACATAGCAATCACTTAATCACTTGGCACCTGTTGTTACTGACCTGGTATATATTATTTGTGTAGAAACTCATAATTAAAATTTTGTTCCCAACATTTTATTATGAAAATATTCAGAAATACAGAAAAGTTGAAGGAATTGTACAGTGAATACCCTACATACATCATCTAGATTCTACAGTTATTCATTGTTTTATCGCATATCCATCCATCCATTTCTATCCATTCATTAAACCATCTTAATCTTTTGCTGTACTTCAAAGTGTGTTGCAGATGTCAGTATGTTTTACCTCTTGTGTAACAAATGAATTCATTGTGTGTGTGTATGTGTGTATGTTTTAAATAGTTTAAATATTAATTCATTTTGAGAGAGAGAGAGAGGATATGTGAGCAGGGGAGGAGCAGAGAGAGAGGGAGAGAATCCCAAGCAAGTTCCTTGCTGTCAGAGCAGAGCCAGATACAGGGCTTGATCCCACGAACTGTGAGAGCATGACCTGAGCTGAAATCAAGAGTCGGATGCCTAACTGACTGAGCCACCCAGATGCCCCACAGTGAGATTTGACAAATGAAAAAAAAAAGGTAGAACTTAAACTCCTACCAAGACAGAACATTACCATCATCCTAAAAAGTTCTTTGATTCTTGGAGACGTTCCTTTAACCCCAGGCAACCACTGTTGTAGTTTTGTTTCTATCATAGATTAGTCTTGCTTATTCTATATAAATGGAGGTTGTAAATGGATTCATATGTATGTAAGCACTCATTTCAGTCAGGCTTCTTTCAAGCCTAATGTTTTCAAGGTTCATCCATGTTGCTGTTGTATCAATAGTTTGTTCCTTTATATTGCTGAGGACCATTCTGTTTTCTGACTATACCTATACCTCTGTTTTTACATTCTTCTGTTGGTAAACATGTGGCTTTTTTCAGTTTTTGACTGTATTGAATGTGCTTCTATGACCAATTGTGCACAGATCTCTTTGTGAACATTTGTTTTCAATTCTTGGGTAAATATTTAGGAGTGGAATTGTTGGATCATAAATATACGTAAGTAAATGTTTCATTTTATAAGAAACTGTTAGGCCTTTTTCTTTTTTTTTTTTTTTTATTTTTCATTATTTTTTTTTTTTTTTTTTT